ATGACCCCTTCAGACCACTGTCCTTGTGTGGTTAAAATTTCTAGCCATATTCCTAAAAGTGCCATTTTCAGATTTGAGAACTATTGGCTTAAACATGAAAGCTTTGTCAATATTGTTAATCAGGGGTGGTCCATCAATACTGCAAACCAAGACTGTGCAAAGATTATAACTGCTAAATTCAAAAATTTAAGGAAATTGATAAAAGATTGGAGAAAAAGTCTGTCCAACCTGAAAATAGTCATCTCCAATATCAATAATGTTCTCCTTTTCTTAGATGTTCTGGAAGAATATAGACATCTTACTCTTGCAGAATGGAATTTCAGAGAAATAATTAAGAAAAAAACTAAATGATCTCGTTGATCAGCAGAAGACATACTGGAAACAAAGAGTGCAGTTAAATGGGTCAAGCTGGGGACACTAACATTAAATTCTTTCATGCTAATGCCTCAATCAGACATAGAGGCAACCTGATTAAGAAGCTTGTTTCTGACCAGGGTGTCACTCTCCATTCTCATCATGATAAAGAAACTGCTATTTGGCATGAATTTAAAGAAAGGCTTGCTACCTCTAACTTTGATGCTTTCACCATTGACCCCTCTGCTTTTGTCCATGCCCATGATAACCTTGAATTCCTTGAAAATCCTTTCCACCCTCAGGAAATTGATGATATTGTTAAAAGCCTCCCAAATGATAAGTCTCCTAGTCCTGATGGCTTCAATAATGAATTTATAAAATCTTGCTGGCAAACCATCAAAGGGGACTTCTATAATCTTTGTAATGCTTTCCATCAAGGATCTCTATGCCTGAAAAGCATTAACAAATCCTTCATCACTCTCATTCCAAAAGTGGAAGCTCCAGCAACTGTGTCTGACTTCAGGCCTATTTCTTTACTCAATACCTCTTTCAAACTCATCACCAAGCTCCTGGCCAACAGACTTCAAACTGTCATCACCAAGCTAGTTCACACCAACCAATATGGATTATAACTTGACTTTGAGAAAGCCTTTGATAGAATTGAGCACCAAGCCATGCTGACACTAATGGAATGCAAAGGTTTTGGTCAAACCTGGATCAATTGGATGAAACAAATCTTCTCATCTGCCACTTCAGCAGTGCTGCTCAATGACTTGTCTATTCTGGAAGGACAATTAGGCTTGACAATGCCTAGAAGCCACCTACCCAGAACTCTTCTCCTTTGCCAAGAAGAGAGACATATCAGTAGCCGAAGCCAATGCACATGATGATTTAGCCCATATGTTTTACTTACCAGTCTCAGAGATGGCCTATAATCAGTTACAAGCTCTGAATCAGACAGTATCTGACACACACATCAGTGAGGACAAGGACATTTGACAATATAGTTGGGGTAAAAATTTCTCATCTTCCAGAGCTTACAAGATAATGATGGGTCACACACAACATCACACTTCCATCCAGTGGATTTGGAAGACACCTTGTCAGCCCAAGCACAAGTTGTTCTTCTGGCTCTTGCTCAAAGACAGACTCAGCACAAGAAACATTCTTAGGAGGAGAAACATGTTCTTACCTTCATATAACTGTGTGCTCTGTGGTCTGGAAACTGAAGAAACAGTTCAACATCTGTTCCTGCAATGCCAATTTGCAAAAGAATGCTGGCACATTTTTCAGATTCACATTCCATCTGATGCTGATTTTCCAGAAGTCATGCACTTTCTCAGGGATGCCCTTCAATCTCAGTTCTACATGGCTGCCATCATTCTTATGAGCTGGGCTATTTGGACTTCACGCAATGCTTGCATTTTCAATGGCTTGGTGCCATCAGTTGATTACAGCAGATCAACCTTTTACAGAGATAGAGTCAGCACAAGGCAATCACAATTGTTTGATCAATGGCTCCACTTGATATCTTAGTTGTTGTTCTCACTACCGGAATGACCAGTTTTGCCGTGTGTCCACGGCACACGGTGAACCCCAAAAAACACTCGGCAAAGCCTTTGTTGAGTGTTACACTCGGTAAATAGCACACGGCGTACACAGTGCCGGCAAAAGTTTCTTTGCCGAGTGTTTTTTATCGGGCACTCGGCAAAGACTTTGTCGAGTGCTAAAACCGACGCTCGGCAAAAAAAAAGCAACGTGACAGCACGAATACGGTCACGGCGCGTTTGCCGAATGTCTAACGGCATTGGCACTCGGCAAACATACCCTATTTGCCGAGTGTCCACGGGAAAAAAACTCGGCAAACATGCCTTGTTTGCCGAGTGTCGCAACTGTGACACTCGGCAAAGACTGGTCATTTTAGGCCCAGAATGTACAGATTTTGGCCTCTTTGCCGAGTGTCAGCCCATACACTCAGCAAAGATAGCCATTTTACGCCCAGAATGTACAGATTTTTGCCACGTGTCCTCTTCGCCGAGTGTATTTAGCATGGCACTCGTCAAATAGGTCCTTTGCCACCAGTGTAACACTCGGCAAAGCTACCATGTATATTCAGTTTATTTGGTTCGGTCACATATAACGTACCACACTCAAATGAGCATTACATCCATCACAGATAGTTCACAATAAGCATCACAGACAGTTCATATAGATATATCGACAACACATAAATGCAAACAAACTTCAGAATCACAAGTAGGTTCATTCAAAATCACAAATGCAAATAAAATTCAGATTCGCAAGTAAGTTTGTTCACAGTCGCTCTCCAGGTTCATCAGAAATGCAAATAAACGTAGTCACTGTGACCACGGTGACCAGTGTGATCACGGTCGGTCATAAGGCTCATTCGATGCCGCAGATTGATTCTACACAAAGGAGAAGAGATAAATCATTCACAGTGATTGAGAATGAAACATACACGTATTAGAAATAAACAGTAACTAGAAATAGTGATTAATTCTGCAGAAACTAAAAGTAGCTAAATTACAGTGATTGAGAATGAAACGGTGATTACAAGGTTAACTACAAACTAGAAATAAATTAGAAACATACGCACATCAAAAATGAGAAAATATTGATTCTGCATAAACTAGACTCTAAAGTACAATCTCAAGACTTGCATTATTTTTCACAAAAGCTCGAAAGTTACATGCATATACTTTTTCACAAATATCTTAATTATTAGGGCTTGGTTGCTCGGTTTCCCACGGCAGCAAGGGCCAAGGGGATACAAGGGGCCGCCATACCTGTGTTGGTGCTCGTCCCCGGCGATGGGTCCGACGAGGAACTGGCGAGTTGAAGAAGATGGGGGGGGGGGCCGAGGGTAGGGGCGGCGCGGTGGGGGGGGGGCAAGGGGTCGGCCGGGCTAGGGGGACAGGGCGCCGGGGACAGGCAGTGAAGGGCGGCAGGGGCGGGCTGGCTGGAGGCAGGCCGGGGTGGGCGTGGAGGGAGCCGGTAAGCAGCGCCAAACATGCCAAGGGCAAAGACTGGCAGGCGGGCAATGGAGGTGCGTGTGTGTGGGTGAGTTTGCGTGTGTGCGGGTGAGGGAGCGCCGGGATGGACATGAAGAAGCTTTGCCGAGTGTCTAAAATCTGACACTCGGCAAAGCCGGGCTTGTCGAGTGTCGGATCGGGGCAGCTTTGCCGAGTGTCAGATGGGGCACTCGGCAAACCATGTTTTTTTTCCATTTTCCATCTTTTTTTCTTTTCCATAACATGTTTTTCTTTTTTTTCGATGTACTTTGAAAATACCTTGTCAAATTGACTCAAACAATATATATTTGATTTTTCTACGAATATTATTCCATTATTTTATGCAATTACACCTCAAATTTAATTTATATCAATTAAAATTCTATAATTACACTTAATAAATTAAAATTATCAAACTGATCCAAAACATTACAAAAATTTCACATGAAACAATCTATGTTCTCTATTGCCTATATAAAAAGTTTTGAAGCCAAACCCCAATTCGACCGTCACTTTGACTCCAAATCTTACCGAATCCTTCTCAACGCTGCGCTTCTTTTTCTGAGTTGTTTCGGTTTGTAAACATCATGTGTGACGAATTGTGCGAAACCTTCTCAATTTTTTACCACAGCCTTCATGTATGATATCATCACATCATGACAAATCTCATGATTTTCAGACTTCGTTTGCTTTTTTTAGAATTTAAAAACCAATCGGCCACACGTTCGTGATGGTGTTTTCTGAACAAGATGTTTAAAATTTCTTTTCATTTCCCGGGTAAGGCCTCACACTAGACTCAATAACATTAATATCATTTTTCTACTCATTTTATTCTATTATTTGAATCACTTGCAGTTCAAATTTGACTTATACCAAAAGTCCTAGAGATGTAATAATTTAATTAAATATAGCAAACAAATCCAGAAATATACCAAATTTTAACATGGAATACCACATGTTGTATGTGGAGAGTAGAAAAAGTTTCAAGGTCATAAGAGAAAAACAAATAAAACTATTTGCCGAGTGCCACATGTTTACACTCGGCAAACATATTTCTTTGCCGAGTGCCACAGGTTTAGCACTCGGCAAACATGTTTCTTTGCCGAGTGTCTCCCTTTGCCGAGTGTTTTTTGTTTCTTTCGCCGAGTGTATTTGTTTGCCAAGTGTTTCCACCAACGAACACTCGGCAAACGTACTAACGGACAGCACACGTACTAACGGATGTGGACTTTGCCGAGTGCCTAGCTTTTGCCGAATGTTTTTTTTCTCGTTTGCCGAGTGCCAAACTTTGTCGAGTGTTTTTGTGATAGCACTCAGCAAATAGCTTCTTTGCTAAACGCCCGATGAATGCACTCGGCAAATAATTTAGCACTCGGCAAACACCCAATTTCCGGTAGCGTCTTCTTTTTTCGATATTTTTTTTGTCTCCTTCTTTGTTTCCTAAACTCTGCTGTAACTCTTGGCTACCTTTGGTCACCTTAATTTTCAATAAAAATCAACTGTAGGGGCGAAAGTCCCTCCAGATTCCTAAAAAAAAAAGAAGAAGAAAGGGGAACGGGAGAGACAAGCAAGAAATGAAAAACACAGCCAGTTATATAGCAGACCTGGATTTTTTCATCCGCATATCTGATGCTTGGGAAGATTGGGATGGATTTCAACTGCATGCCTCAGCGCAGCCTCCAATTCCCTTACCTCTTCCTTGCTAGCGCCTCTAGAACGCAAATAAATTTTGACATCCTGGAGTGATGACAGGTTCCCCAGACCCAACTCAGGACCATCACCATTGCAGGTGATTTGTCTAGCCCCCTGTACACAGAACTCAAAGTTAAGAATTTCCAGCCTTGGCATAGCTCCTTGCTGAAACACTATAGGCCCTATAGATCCTCCGAACTGGAACAATACAAGGCATGGGAATAATCCAGCACCAATGATGAATCCCCCATGGGTTCCAAGATTTTTTGGATCCACCGACAGTTTTAGCAGACGGAGAGCTGGCAACCTCCCAAGGGTTTCGAGATTGACCTGCCCTAAATCCCTCACAGCAATGGATAGGTATACAAGGTCCAGTAGATAAGACTGATTCATCCTTGCTGGCAGTGTTGAGAACCAGCATGGCCATTCTATATCCAATCTACAGAGATGTCGAGGGGCAACCCAGGCATCCAATCCAGCAAAGTCCCATTGATTATCTCCAAAAATCTTGATGTATAGATATTCGATATTTTGCAGCTTGGATAGGCACTCCACCAGCTTCCCACTCCAACCAATGAACAGCAAAATATGAAGCACTCTCAGTTTCATTAGCTGGCCCAACTCTTCTATAATGTCAATGGAGACGGTAATGTCTAAAGTTGACAGCACTTCAAGGTTTGTTAGGCTCCTAATCCCATTTGGCACTCTTGTAAACTCATCAATGTACAGGCACATCAAATTTTTGAGCTGAACAACAGTTGATGGCAAGCTAAACATATTGTTGCCCCTCACATCCAAAGTCTGTAGAAATTTTAGGTTTCCTATTTGTTGAGGAAGCTGAGCAATGTGTGTGGCACATAGTCCTAGGTACCTCAAGTGAAATAAATGCACAAGGAACTCAAGGCTGTAACCTCGTGAAAGATCACAATCTTGTAAATTCAGGACTCGTAAAACTCGGAATCTCCGAAGGACTGGCATTACACAAAATGCTGATGGAAAGACAACAGCTGACCTTACATGTACCAAGCTTGCAATATGTAGAGGCTTAGCGTTATCTTCTTTACCATATTGAAGAGACAACCTCCCAAACAACTTTGATGGAGATGTGTACCACACACCATTTAATATAGTAACTAAATTTTCTTCACTTGACAAGAAGCAAATAAGATCGTGCACCATATCATGTACATGACAAGCATATATCAAGCCAGTGTACCTCTGATATATAGGTTGGATCATACTTCTGTTCATGAGTTCATTGAAGTAACTGTCGCCAATTGCAAATAGACTCTTACCTTGGTTTTCACATTGAATAAAGCCTTCGGCTATCCACATCCATATCAAACGATCTTTTTCAATTTTATAATCTTCCGGAAACACGCTTAAATATAATAAGCAAGTTCTCAGATGGGAGGGCATTTCATAATAGCTAAGTGATAATATCTTTCACATATTAACCACATCAGTACTATCGCTAAGACCAGTGCCAATAGAGTTGTACACATCATACCAATCAATCTCATTTCTTGCTTTAGATGCTAGAAGACTAGCTACTGTAACAATAGCCAAGGGAACACCACCACATTTCTGTAGTATTCTCTTGGATACTTCAGCCAGCTCCTTATTCAGACATTTTTCTATGTCTTCAATGTTGTCCTTGTTTTCGTTACCAAATATTCTTCTGTACAACAACTTTTGGGAGTTACTCAGGGAAAGGGGTTTCAACTTGTAAGCACCACCAACTTCTTCCGCAACACCAAAATTACGCGTTGTTGTGATAATTATGTATCCAATATCATTATCAGGCAAGGCACGTCTAATCGTTTGCCAGACTGAGATATCCCATATGTCGTCAATAACAAGAAAATACCTACACACAGGGCAAGTTATTAGCAAAAACTAATAAAATTACGATGGGAAGTTCTATTGTTCATGAACCAAATTGTGCCAATTAAGCTAACTGGAACAATGCAAATGAACTCATGAGTTAGACAAGGTTAACATGTCCATAGACAAAAGAAGTCGACTCAGAATTTTAACCAAAAACAAAAAAAAGACACCCAGGGAAAAAAATTACTGTCATTGCTCATATTATTTCCACTGAACAATGAGGTTTAAAACATAAGTGGCGGTATTTTTTTATTTAACTAGGACATGCATGCACATTTCTCATTAACCTTGTTTGGCCCTAGGACGTAGTATTATGATAGGAGGGCAAAACTTAACAGCGGCAAAACAATTCATATGCACACCCTAATTGCAGGAATGCTTGGGCTTCCATACCTTCTATGTTGAAGGAATTCTCTGAGTTCATTGATGAGCTGTTGCTCGTAAACAAAAGTTTCATTGATGCTGTCATCGTATTTATTCCTATCAAGTTGATACAGGATGTCCTTGAATAGTTTATTCAGGTCAGGAGTTTGAGACACTGATACAAAAGCATAGCAATCGAATTGTGCACTAATCTTCTCATACACTGCATTAGCAAGAGTTGTCTTGCCCATCCCACCAAATCCAACAATGGAGACTATCTTGCCTTGCTGTGAGGGCACTCCGTTCTCTCCCATCAAAATCTTGATTAACTCATCTCTAGTTTCATCAATGCCAACGAGGTCTTTAATCATTGTGTACTGCGAAAATAAACGTGGGTCCACAGTAGGTTTGGTAGGTTTATCAACACCAAGGTTAACATCGTACCTGGGACACCTCTTGTGCACCTCTGAGACACGGCTCTTGATGTCTCTGATCCGAGTTGTGGCAATATATCTCCGTATACGACTCGACTCTGCTGACTCGTTGAGCTGGTCTATGTAATCAGACATCATGAGTGTGTCAATAATGTCCTCTATGTAATCAGACAGCTCGCTCAAATCTCTGGCCCAGATCTTGTCCTGGATGTTAAGCTGGTCTGTCGGTGTATTGGAGAGCTTCTTGAGGGCAAACTCCATGCTCTCGAGCTCAGATTGAAGAAACATAATCTTCTTTCTCATCCTCTTTGGCAGATTGTACTCGTCGGTGAGAAGAACACGAAGCCTGGTGATGACCCTCGATAGTGCCCCCGTTGCGGTCTCCATGGATCAGATCTGTCCTGGGCGAACCCAAGGAGTGAGGCTACTGTGTGTATACCTAGGAGCTATTTGGATGGGCACAAAGGAGGGAAGAGCGCGAGATAGAACTCACCGAGTCACCGGCCACCGCTTGTCGCGAATCCGGCTCCCCTTCTCGCCGGATCCGGCTTCCCGCCGGGTATCGACGGATCAAGCCGAGGAGCCACAGCCGCCCCCTGTTTTTTGTTCCAAGTTGCTTCCGGGTTGCTGCTCTCTAGCTGCTGCCTTGGAAGATGGAACAGATCGGAGAGGGGACAGGATCATCGTGACGCTACACCAAAAGGCAAAAAAATATTGCTCCACCGCATTAATTATCTATTCCACCCATGATATCGATGCCCTCTCTTCTTCCACATGCCGCAGCATCTTTCTCTTTGCGCCGGGTGCCTACTGGTGACAGCTTTTTCTAGGCCCCTCCCATAGTGGCCATATCATCTTCTTTCCCCATTTCCACGTGGGTAAATTTGCTGTAGCACATTATTTAATATTCATATTTGCTACTCCCTCCACTCCGAATTATAAGTCGTTCCAAGAATCTTGAGAGTCCAAGCATCTTTGACCAAAATTATAGAGATAATTACAAAAAAATTACGACCATTAAATAAGTATACTATGAAAATATAATTAATGAAGAATCTAATAATACTTAGTTAGTATCATAAATGCTATTATCTTATTATATAAATTTGGTCAAGCTTGAGATGCTTTGACTCTCCAAAATTCTTGGAATGATTTATAATTTGGGATGGAGGGAGTACTTAACATTGGCTTTGCTAGGAACACTTTTTAATCGTGGCAATTAGCCCCTTAGACACTACATTTACTAAATTTTGGAGAATTTACTAAAACTCTAATGTGTGAACAAATGTTTGGATTTTAGGGTCAGGTTTTAACATGGGATCCACATATAGATCTATCCACACCGATCTCCATGAAGCATAAAACTGTATGGCACATCATTTCAAAAAACTTCTATCAAATTTGCTGAAACTTTTACAAGGAACATGAGATTTTAATTCTTTTAATCTGGGGGCTCACATGTAGCCATACTAATTATGATACTCCCTCTGTCCTAAAAAAGGTTGTAATTTTAAAACAGTGTTGTGCTATATTAAGTTTGACAAATTTATATAGAAAATAAAGAGTAAAATGTACCCTGGGTGCTTAAACTTTTCATGGATTCACACTTGGGTCCTTGAACTAAAAAAGTGACCATCGCGTCCTCAATCTATTGTGGACTATCATCTAGGTCCTCCAACTAAAAACGTGACCATTTAGGTCCTTAAACTAATGTGGCACCCGAGTAGAGGTCCATATCTCACTGCAGCAACTCTATAAGCCTATTTTTTAGAAACTCTATAAGCCTATTTAAAGGCAATATGATATGATCAGGTATGTGACCATCATATTGATCCAGGTGGGCTTCTGTCCGGTTTCTAGAGGACGGCCTCTGTAAGTAAAGCTACCGCCTCCGAAAATCAAAAGCTATTTTGGGAGACGCCAAGAGTTTTTGATCGCCTCTGTTAATAAAATCCCTTGTCCCATAAAATCTTTTATGTAGTAGTGACCTGTAGACAACAACAACTTATAACATAACACATATAATAAATATTTCAATAGTTAAATATATTAAAAATGAGTAAAACTACGAATAATATTTATCAATAAATAGTTTAATTTAAAATATATAAAATAATTCCATCAATATATGTATAACTAAAGTACTTAAAATTAATATGATTAGCCATATTAAAATTAAACTTTATATATGTTAGTAAAAATTAAATTAATAATGCTATTTAATAATGTTATTAGCCATAGAGATAAGTTTTAAATAGTTTAAACAATGCATATCATCTACCACATTAAAGTTGATATCATTTACATTACTAGTTAGTCATAGATATTAGTTAGATGCCTTTACAAGGTACTTTGTTATTCGTGGATACAAAAAAAGAATATCGATACATCCACAGCCTTACTTTCATACGAGCTAAAACCTTAGAAGACATAAATATTTATATTGTTTGATACTTTTGGTTAATATAAAATATTTATCTAAAGTTTCTAACACAATAGGCATATAATATAGATACTCTCTAGTGTGTAACTTAGAAATATATTAAATATTTATCCTAGTGTATACAAATTTTTACTTTATGCAATTTCCTAGTGGTAGAGGTGATTGTTTTTTTATGTAACAGATTATATCTAATGACAATTAATAATTGGAGTCTAACAGATTAAAGGTCAGATCTTTCAGATTAGTTTGAGAATTTATAGAATTTATCTTTTTTCTTTATAAAAAATAACATGGAGTCTCTCACTACTGGAGGCGCATGCTTTGCCGAGGGCCTCTAGCCCTCGGCAAAGGCTTTGCCGAGGGCTGCCCTCGGCAAAGACCCCTCAGGGAATTTTTAGACGGCGAAGGGGTCTTTGCCGAGGGCCCTTTATCGGGCACTCGGCAAAGCCTTTGCCGAGGGCCAGGACGGCCCTCGGCAAAGAAAAGAAACCGTCAGGCGCCGACGCCGTTGGCGGTTTCTTTGCCGAGGGCCGACCCTCGGCAAAGAAATGGTTTTTTTTTGAATTTGTTTGCCGAGGGCCGACCCTCGACAAATAATTTTTTTTATTTTTTTTTTAAAAACCTTTGCCGAGGGCCTCCTCCATGGCCCTCGGCAAAGAAATTTTCAGGATTTTTTAAAAATTCTTTGCCGAGGGCCGGCCCTCGGCAAAGAAATGGTTTTTTTGAATTTTTTAACCCTTTGCCGAGGGCCTGCTCCCTGGCCCTTGGCAAAGAAATTGTCAGGATTTTTTCCAAAAACATCTTTGCCGAGGGCTATTGCTTGGGCCCTCGGCAAAGGACCCTTCTTCTTGAGGGCCTTGGTCATTGCCCTCGGCAAAGAGGCGAAATTTAAATTTTTTTTTGTTTTTGCATTCCATCGACACAAGCATTTCATATATATACATATATATATATCACATGAACCCATTTTTCTCACGATATATCACAACCATAATTGTGAACCACAAATCACAATATATTACAACGACAAGTCACATGTTCATCATCATTCACATGTTTATTACGAAAAGTTAATGAAATCCAAGCACAAGTCACAACCATAAATCACAAATCACGCTAAAGTCCAACCACATCACCTAGCACGAGTCCTCATCAAGCTAGCCTATGAGACGATGGTGAAGGAAAAGCGAGATCACCCGGTGGCGCACTAAGCGGGTTGATTGGAACCATGGACGGAAGTTTGCACAAAGGAGCAGAGATTGCATGTGTGAGTAATCCGGGAAAGCAGCTTTTGGAACTTAGAGATTGCATCTAGTATTGTAGGAATACAAAAGATTAGACTCAATTGAAAATTTCGACAAAGACACCTCCCCCGCACGGGAGGTTTCCAAAAACCTGCAAGAAAGCGGCCTTAACGCCGACATCCACAACGGCACGAACGTCGACATCCACAGCGGCACGAAGGCCGACATACATGCAAAGCATAAGCAAAAGTGAACTTTCATACTTACAGGAGTAGCTGCAGGAGTAGGAGGTGGAGGAGCTGGCTGCACAGTACACACGATGCTTGCCCATGACTTTGCATGATCACCATCATCTCCGCCATCTCTTCTGCATGGCGGCCTCGAACGCGACCTTCTAGGCCTGCGGTGTATGCGGTCAGACTCCAGCGCTCTGCTCTTGACTTTGCCTTTTTGTTTCTTGCAGCTCGCACCGCAATATTTCACTCAATGTATCGATAATGCAAATCTAATTTAGGTGTGTAAATATCTACGTCACGATGAGTAAAACAGAATTACCTAGAGTGCTTGGACCTCTTTGTAGTCTTTGAAGAAGGCCGTGGGCGTATGAGGCATTTGGAGCTCGTGCTCCATGCTCAATATAAGCGTCGAGGAGGGAACAGTGGTGGAGTCGATGGCGCCGTCCCGCAATCCTGACCGCCCGTGGTTCTTGCCTCCTCCGAGCCTCATGATCGCCTCTGCATCAATGGGCTCAGTGCGCACATTGTAATCTTCCCCATAGATCTCCCTTACCGTTGACGTGTACTCTTGGACTTTAGTGTACACGTTCGGGTCGGAGTACACCTGGGGCGGGGCAGCCGGGTCGAAGGAGACAGAGGACGACGCCCTACCCATGTGGGACATAGCCCACGCAGAGAACTCCGAGACCTCCTCGACCGGGTGCGCAGCCTCCTGCGAGAAAGACGGGAAGATGGTGAGAAATCAAGCAGAATTGAGCGTCAAAATAAATGAAAGAAATCACTTATGTATGCTTGTTTGTATCTGGGGAGGCTACGGCTGCCTTGATGGTGAGTTGGACCTTGCCTCATCAGACGCTGTTCCCGATGCCTCTCGTGCGTGTCAACAAAGTCCTATGATAACCACTTGTCCACGATCATGGCCCAGCACTCGGGATACGATCGGCACCACCAGGGAATCACCTACAAGTTATCGAGTATTTGACATATAAGAAGATGAAATTGAACTTACTTAATATCAAAACGAATCATTATGAATGTTATTCGCCTACCTCAAGGTACTGGTCCCGGGTCAGCGTAATTCGTCTTGCTTGAGGCTTGGGGAGGGACTGCCTAAGTATCGACCTATAGTAGTCTATGTGGGCCTGGACGCACCCATGGTGGTGCATCTCGGTGACGATACTTCCCTACAAAGGCTGAACCCCTTCGATCCGCTGGGCCTCAAGTCCTTCTTTGGCCTTGAAATATTTACGCATACAAAACCGATGTATCCATTCATTATTTCGATAAAATATTTAACCAATGAATGCGATGTATTAAGCAATGTTGTGCGAGAGAGACTTACCCAAAACTCCGCCAATACTCGCTCCCCGCTTGTTGCGGTAAGTGTCATCCGTGACAGTAGCGTACTGTCCCGATTGGAGGCCGGCTCCGCACCACCGGCTCTTGACAGTTGCACAATGCCGA